GGTAAGAAGAGAAAAGAAAGAGGGGAGAGGGAGGGAAAGAGAAAGAAGGGGAAAGAAAAAGAAAGTAAAAAGGAAAAGAAAAAGAGAAGAGAAAAATAAAGACAAGAATAAAAATAAAGATAAAATGAACAGATATCACAATACCCCGGCCTGCAACCCCTTCTCCACTTCAAAAAGTGTCCATAGCGCATTTGATCTAAGCCGCCAGATACTCCGCAGTGGCGTAACCACCGGGGGACAAGGAGAAAATATCCATCTGTTGAAAATCTTTCCCCATTGAATGCCCTTTTCACCCGGGAAAGTGCCTAAAAACTTCAAATTTTAAATCGCATATTTTGTTGAGGTAGGCCAATTTCCTCTAAAAATTGCACATTTAGGGAGTTTTGATCAATTCCTACGAAATTAGACTAAAAAACAAAAATTTGTTAGGGTAAAAGCTTGTGCTTGCCCTCCTTTACCTTCTAAGTTATTTAAAAACATAATAGTCCCAAACTTGAGAAAGAAAATTTAAGATAGATCGTTTTATCTAAAAGAAGGGCCTCAATGTGTAATGATGGTGAAAGAATAGGCCTAAGATTGTAATAAATAAAACCACGATGAAAATGCTTAGGCCTATATTTAGTTTCAAACATACGTGTGTGGCCTATATTAATAATAAAATAAGCCCTATGTCGTATTGTTTTCTATATGGGGGGGGGGGAGGGGGGTATCACACCAAGTCATAAATACTAACCGGGAAAATTATTACCTTTGCCGCTGTCTCTTATACACATCTAGATGTGTATAAGAGACAGCCCAAGACCCCTGTTACGCGCCTGCTTATAAGTGGACCCCCCACTTTGAAAAACGTTCCGCCGGCCCTGCAATATACTGTACTTTCTTATATAGCTTTAAAAAGGCCGGGTGACATAAAACCTGATGGCAAAAGGCCCGGGGGACAAAAGGCCGGATTGAACAGGCCCAAACCCATGATCCACAACACATTGCTATTAGATGATCTTGATTGTGGTTATGTTCTTTTTGTATCAATAGCACGAGTCGAATACGAGTAACGATAACGATATATGGCATAAAGTAAAAAAGGAAATAATGAAAGAACAATAATATTGTTACCTGTGGCGCCTGTTGGTCCTGTTTCCCCGCATGCACCATTGACACCAGGAACTCCTGGAACTCCGGGAACACCTGTGTAAACATACATGATTTTATATTTATATTCATCTGGTCACCCAATAGGTCTAAGGGAAAGACTTCAGTGCAAACTGAATGTTCTTCCAGCACGTTAAATTAGTCTCTGCGGAATTTCAAAAGTTTCCTTTTTCAAAGATGACCATTCAACGGGTACTATCTGGTACCGGTTATAATTTGGTTATCGTTGGGGTTATTCGACTGGTTCATTTAGTTGAGTACGAATTTTCGGTGAGTATTATTTTCATTCGACTGGTTCGTAAAATAGACTTCGTTGACAACGAAAATTAACGTAACCAGAATGCGTTAATCAGCGTTAAGTTATGCACGTAACCAAAAAAAATATGGCTGATTGGTAGCAACAACATTTGCGTTACTATAATTTAGATTAAATTTCAGAAAATAAAAATTACAATAGAACACAGAATTCAAAAACTGGATAAAAACATATTTTTTACGAAAAACCCACTGCCACAATCCGACAGCCTTGATTACGCAGCGTGTATCACGGTAACTATGCAGCCATTTTGTTTTGTCGAGTATTTACCAGTTTCCTATTCGACTGGTCGTCTTCGTTAAGTAAGATTTTACCACTGTGCAGGTGGGCGTGGTTTAACGAAGAAGGACCAGGCGAATACGGCCATTGTAAGAAGTGATATGGTTTCAGTATTTCACTGAACAAGATACAATATAAATAAATTAAACTTACCTGGTACTCCGGCCAGTGCTCCAGCAGTTGGGCCGCGTGGACCTATGAACCCAAAATTGAATGATTCAATATTAAGATCTCTGTCCAGACTATCAAATTTTCTTCGATAAAAAAAACGGATGTATGCCCATATATAGTCATGGTGTGCCTATATATGGTCATGATTGATGTCATATTATGACCATATTTTAAGGGTCACATGTTTTTGTCGAACAAAATTTTATAATTTGGACAGGTATTCCTTTTAAATGAGCGCATACGGCTTAGTCCTTTATTATAACAGTAAGCTGTGTGTGAGATATTTCAGTACAATTATATAAAGTAGTCTATCTTGTAATATATTTAGTCCAGTTTTAAAGTCAGACTCCGGAGGAAAAACATTTTTGATATGTTGTAAAACTGATTTTTCTAAGACAGAAAAAAGTTGTTTGACGAAAAACTGGGGAACGGTGAACGAGATACAGATTTTTGAATATTTAAAAACTGGGAAAAAAGGGGGCGTAACCGCCCATTTTTACACATTTTCCCCCAGTTTTTAAATATTTAAAAATCTGTATCTCATTCACTGTTACTTAGTTTTTGATCAAACTACTTTTTTCTGTCTTAGAATAATCAGTTCTACAACATATCTACATTTTTCTCCTCCGGAGCCTGACTTTAATGTCTACTTCAATAAAAATATTAGGCTATATCTTTTAACTTAATTTTACATAGGCCCTAAGTGTGTTCTGTCTCTTGGGGTACTCAGCGCCCTTGAACCTCAGTAAAATAAAAAATATTTTAATAATGTAAGAATTTATCAGAATAATACTTTAAAATATAGGCCTATATATTGAGCAAGGCGAGACTAGAAATGGCATGGGCTTAAGAACACGTAGTTGTCATCTCTAAACCCCTGGCCAATAACAAATACAATTAAAATATAAAGAAGAAAACGATAAAACAATAAAATATGTTTATTCATTGATTTATTCAATACAATAGTTAAAAGTGTTGTTTTAAAACTGACAATTCATATTTACCAATTTGATTATAAAGCAGCAGAACGGATGTTTTACACTAGTATTGCTGTTGCTGCTCTTGCTCTGATTTAAATGTTATAATGTGAATTTTAAGTGTCTGTGAATTTTAGGTGTTTCATATTGTCAAAGAGAGAACAAATTTCCAATGTAATATTGGATAATAACAGTTCGGCCTATCTTCTCTTATCTTGATATTACCAAGGTCCCAGGTAGGGCTACACCCTTTAAAGTGCCACTTGTATCATGTACCGGTATTGGATTTGATTAATGAAACCTAGGCCTATATTGTGTAAAAATTACGAAATAATAAAACGCCCGTATGTGTCACCAACCGTTATAAATATAAAAACGATTGGTATAACGTCATAATATTTACGATTTTTGTCTTCTGGTGGTGTATGATAACAGGCACCACATGTAAGAGTGTTATAATTATGTAATTGTAATTAAATAAACAATCTGTAATTTTATTTTATTGTATTTTGATTTTGTTTATTTTATTGTGTCTTTGAGGACTGCTGTTCAACCCATATTTTTTCACTTCAAAATATTAACGATGACTTCTTAAAAACTGTTACCGTATTATTCGACGCCCTGTCGAATAAACGCCCCCTCCAAATCCTCATTTTGGAATAACCGCCTGGCTCGAAACTCCCCGATGCGTTTATTTTTTACTCGAATAATCTTCACCCCACCCCCACCCCCTCCATGAATGTAAGCAAAACTAATGCAAACATCGTCATCCTCAACACATTCTATTAATGTTCTACTCTGGTAGAATTACATTTTTTCTAACCTGGTTGGGATAAGCCTTTATGTTCACGCAAAAACACATTTCGACTGTGTTGTAGTTATTTGAGTAAATATTTATCCATTTCGCACCAAAAATAATAAATACCTCCCTCGAATATACGCCTCCCTCGAATGAATGCGCCCTCAAAAGCCCTTCTCAACAATAATCAAAATCGAATAAATACGTTATATTATTTTCAAAAGATGCATTGATAATAGGTTTGTAATAATTAATTCTTACTTACATGATGTCGCTGATCTCTCCTCGGTATCAGATGCTGTTTCGCTGCCAACACTTCGCTTACGCAACGTGTGACCCAGCTTCTGCAAAGTCAGAAAACATGTCACAATTAATACGGTAACTCAATAACAATTTACTTATGTTTTAATACGCAGGGATATTGATTATCAACTACGTACATATTCTTATATGGAACAGGTGGGCTGCCTACAGCATTTGCCAAATTTGTTTATATATATATATAATTTTATATATATATATATATATATATATATATATACGTACATACATACACACATATATACACACATATACATACACACATACATGCACCCATATATTTATTATATTATTTTATATTATATTAGGGCTGATTGTACCCGGGTCTGCCCGCATTCCTTGGGCAAAGCGCGCTGCCCGAGTTAGATATCATCCCTACCTGGAGCCCATCCAGCTTGTCATCGGGTTTCAGAGACGTTGAAACCTGCGACAAACACATCAGAACAATTCCAACACAAACAGCAGCGCTGAACTTCGTCTCGATAGGCTTACAAGCACCAACCATTCTTAGAGAATTTTTGTGATATTTGTTACACTGGAATGTCGTGACTGGGAAACATGAAATGACAAAACAATTAAAGATAATAATAATAATGATAATAATAATAATAATAATAATAATAATAATAATAATAATAATAATAATAATAAACGGTAAAATGATAAATTAAGTAAATTGGTAAATAAAAGGCAATAAGAACAATAAGGCAAGGCTTTTTATACCTTGTTTAGCGAACGAAGCATCCTCCAATATACGATGATTTTGAATAAAAATACAATTCTATATATTTGGTATATTTTTAGCGCACCCGCCGCCACGAAAAAATGGAAATTTCAGAAAAAAATATTTAGGCCTATTATTTTTATTACGCCTGCCTTGCCTTAAAATTTTTGCCAAAATTATATATGTATAATTCTTTCTAATTATATAACCATCTCATTTACTACACTGTTCACATTCACCAATACAATTTTATTTTTCTCCTCCGTCTAGATGTTTTTGGCAAACTAAATAGTAAAAAAAAATATTTTTATTGTTTTCCGCCCTCCTCTGTCGATCTTTAAAAATAAGTTCGCGAAACAAGTTTCGCATAAAGAAAAACAAAACAATAAGAACATTAATACCATCAATACTACTATCTCTAGTAGTTTCTACTATAACATAGGATTGAAATTTCCTATTAAACCATAATTAATTATTTTCCAAATTTTCCTAATTCTGATTCGAGAAAACATTGACCAGTATGATAACTTACCTATTGTTTTTCAGGCCGATGTACGTTTGGTGCCCAACTCTTTCTGAATGCGCCGCAGTGGTGTTGGCATGTCCGTTTTATAGCACCACACCTCCCAAGACCCTACACCCGGTGCATCCAGGTGCGCATTCGGAGGCACTATCGGGCTACAGGGTGTTGGTCATAATTCTTCTGGATTATAATGGAGGACACCATTTCGTAATAATATACCTGGATTAAAGAAATTCAAAATCCGTATCCGGGTCAATTTACGAACCTTCGATTTTTTTTTATCTCCACCAAAATTACGAGACGAAATTATACTATTGGTGACCTTGGATAAGACGCGTGCACGCACTCCTCATCTGTTTTGTTTTTGTGTTTTTTGTTTTTGTTTTTGTTTTTGTTTTTGTTTTTTTTTGGGGGGGGGTTTTGTTTGTTTGTTTTGTTTTGTTTTGGTTTTTTTTTTTGGTTTTTTTTTGGTTTTTTTTTTGCAAACCAAGGACTTTTTAACTTTGTTCAAACCTCCCGAGTAAATATGCATTCCTTCAGCCAATCAAACTGTAGTAATGCGTCAGGCGTCATGAATAATTCAACAGGGGATTCATTTCCTTCAATATTTTTGCGATGCTTTGCGGGCAAATGCAGAGGGTGGGCACACTCTCCCCACCCCACCGCCCCCCCAAAACAAATCCTAAATGTCCACGTTTTAAACCTATGTTATTTCTCTAAAATCGTTCATAATTATCGCGAAATTCTATAACTGGTATACTGGTACTGGTAGGCACTTAATAATGTATCTCTTCCGGGAGGTTATTATTCGCTGTTTTATTCCCCATGGTCATTGGGTCCACATCCTTTAAGTGTTGCTGATGTAATCAGCGCAGCAGCAGCAGGCGACCCAACCAGGTGCCCATTTATACTCCTGGATGGATAAAAGCAAAGCAAATAAAGTCTCTTGCTTAAGGACACAACGAAATGCACAGCGAGGGATTGAAACCCTGACCTCGAGGTTGGAAAACCAAACCCTTCCTGCTGCGCCAAACCGCTTCCATCAATATTATATTGCATTAATATTTGCCAACTCTTCTAACCATTTGTTTAACTGTGGTACGAATTTGTACGAAAAACAGCTCCAGTGGTTGCAAATTAATCCATGTGATCAATGTTATCTGTAGGACGTAAAATGCTACAACTATAGAGGTTCCTAAGAACACCGTAATGAATGAAAATTGAAATAGAATAGGCCTATTTACGAATTACGGAGCTCAGAAATCCATCCAGAAGGCCCTAAAAATGCTAATTTGTCTGAGCTTCCGAGGCTTCGCCCCGACCCTGCCTATGGGCCTGGCCTTGACTAGGGCACTTTACCTACGTTTGTCTCTCCCCCAGGAGTATAAATGGGTACCTAGTATGATGACGTGGCATTGGATGTATTATATTAGCCTGTATCTGCTCTTGGTTGTCGTACCTGTCCTTTGGTTGTCGTATCAATGCGGTTTGTTAGTTTATGTTCACCGTTTATTTCCTTTATTTTCTCTTTGGACTACATTGTTGTTAAGCGCCTCGAGGTTGTCTCAGGGTGTTTTTGAAAATTTCAATTTTTTCGTTGTTTTGAATTATTTAAAATAAAGACATCTTCTTTTACTTTGTATCTTGTAATACAGTATCGAAACCTAGTATCCAAAGATCTTGTCAAATATATTCAACCCCAATTGGCTTTGACATCTATTTGACTTCTCATTCTATATTACATCCAATTTCCAACTAATTTGGTACCATGGTGTACCGGTACGTAATTGGAGGTGTGTGTTTTACCTCCGTAGATCATAAATCTTGGAATGTAGGCCCACAGGCCTGTATTAAAAAAAATTCACGCATAGAAAAATGAGCATAATCTACTCAGACATATTAATAGCTTATTTAGCATTCCTAAACTGGTTTGGAACGGGGTCACTTCGACCCGGCCGGTCACAGACCGAAGGCCCCGTCCTTTCCCTCGTCATCCATGCTCCCTAGTCTAGTAAAGGGCTGTTGAGCGTCAGACCATACTCAGTGGCGTATCTAGGAGTTTTAAAATGGGGGTGCTAATGGATGGGGTGGGGGCCGAACGTGACGGGGTGCTCGATGAATAGGTGAGGGGAGCTAGCTCGCAAAATAAGGTGATTGGAGGTGATTTTTGAATAAATTTTGGTTCGAGTATTTTGTTTTTGTTTTTTTTTTAGGGGGGGGGGGGGGGGGGTGGTGCTTACCTCCTAGATACGCCACTGGCGCCATACAACAATCTACCCTGTCCACAGCTCTGAAGGTAATATTCGTTCACCATTACTGGTCCAGTAGCTCGAGTAGGGTGTAAACATGGAGAAATGTTTTGTAGGCCTCTGGTATACCTGTATCGGTGAAGTGGTTGGTTTGATGAAAATTATTATGTGAATCATCTGCGTGGATGCGGGTTTTCGTCGACCAAACTCCCATCAGTTCAGGAGTGGCGCCTGGCTGGTAGTCGGCTGGCCCCAGGCAGAGCCGTCAAATCCAGACCTGGAACAACCGTCGAGGAGCCATGATAAAATCTGTTGGGGGAAACATAATATGGTGGGGTTGAGGTAGGTGACCCATCTATACCCGAACGGCGGCCACTTGTCGCCACCCTTGCATCAGTCCGTAAAATGCTCTTATAAATACAATTCAAATTGGTGAATGAGATGTAAAGCAAAATATAGTATTTAAACTCGAATGTATTTACAGTAAAAAAAATATTTATGCTCAGAATAAATTTTTAAAAATATCATTTAATAATAACTTGATAGGACTAAAGTATTACAGGAGGGTAAATAAGAACACAAGATTATGGCATATGTATACTTTATTATTATTTATAAAACCACTTATGACAAAGTAAAAACAACCCCGAAATTCAGATTCAGATTCATTTAGATTCATATTTATTCACACAATGCATAAAGGTGGTAACAAGACAAAAATAATAAAGATGCAAACAAAATCGAATGCAATTGTGTCTGGAGAAGTCAAATAAGCCCAAATGGCTTTACGGCTGGCTCCACCATAGAAAAATGAAAGTAATTTGTTCCATAATCAAAGACAAGACAAAACATGACGGAACGAACACAATGGAACGACAAAAGGAAAAACGACAATTAATATGCAAAGTAAAATAAACAAAACACAATACACGATAATACTATATTTGATCTTGAGTCTGCATTCAACTAGTGTTATATTCAAATGTGTTACAATATACATTTAAGGCCTGATACAAAAGGCAAGTACCATATATTATTAGATATTATTAGGCCTAATAACAAACTGAAACGAACGACAATAAAATGTGTGATATGTAATTTACAATGTTTTTACCCTTGTACATTTGTAGGCCTACTAACTTCTATAGATTTTATGCAATTTTGCGACATCTGTTGATACATTTTATGAAGTTTCCATAAGTTGTATGTTGATTTCGAATGAATAATATGTATGAATAAATAGTCAAAACTGTATATAAAAAAAAATAAAATGCATCCTGTGTATACTACGGTAAAATACTAGCTTACAAGTGCGGCAAATGCTTTCTTATATCGTTGTCCAATATTTATGCTATAAAGTATAAAAGCGTATAATACATTTATCATATCTGAAAAAAAAGAACATTAAACAACACTGTGCCATGATAAGAAATTTATTAAAGCCTATCTCTAATCAAATGGAGCACGCATCAATTTGTGCATAAACGTACAGAAACTTAATTATGACAGCGTTAATCATCCATTGCAGACGAACACAGTTTCAGATTTATTCAGTGTAGATAACTAGACAATAAACGCAACACTAGCAAGCTTAAAGTTGAAAAACTAAATTTCACTTACACTTATATCCTATTATATTAATATAAGGACAGTATATAGTTACACAGCAGTAAATTGAAATTAGAAACTTATTATCATCATTATTTTATTCCGTTTTTGACTGTAAGAGTCGGCTCTAGGCACATTGCAATGGTCCAAGAGTGTAGACACCTTTCTCGGCTGTATCACCTGTATCTCCAAAACGAAGCTGGGAAACAGGTAAAGTTGCTTTATCAGTAAGGTAGCCCAGGTCCTGACGAGGGACGGCATCGTTGACGTCACAATTACAACGCTTAGTAACATCGTCACATGTTTCTACAATTACAAATAACAAGGGGTTATTTAGGCAGAATTGTTATGAACGAATGTTGGCGCATAAATATCTGTCTCTTATATGAGTTCTTCCCATCCTGTCTCTTATACACATCTAGATGTGTATAAGAGACAGGCCTTCATCAGCGAGTATACCTGTATTATAGAGTACCACAATCGTGTCGTCACGACACCAGGTGGTGCTCTCTGTTGTCAACGGAGGTTAGTTACCGTTCATTACGCCTGAATGACTTCATAGGCTTTCTGGAATAGGCATTTTTAAATCTAATATTTTACCATTAAAATGTACTAAAAACACAAAAGCTCGCATTATATTAGTTATCGAACACACATTTAATCACCAATTAAAATTTACAAAGAAAAAGTAAGATAAAACATCTTAATAATTACGTTAGAAATTGGGATCAGTGGTTTGTCAGTGAGGAAAATGGCGTCCGGTTGAACTCTTTTTGCAACGAAGTAGTATCACGTGGTATCGTGACGTAACACTGTAGTACTCTATTGGCCTATATATTACATTATAAATGATTATATTTTATTTTGAATCGGATACCGAACTTGTTTAACTTCTTAAAAAATTATATAAGAACTTCACCAAAAAGGAAATTACAGTTTGAATTGAAAAATTAAGTCATACTCCACTCACTCAAACATAATATTACATATATAGTATACACGCATACCCACACACACACATACACACACACATGCACACACACACACATATATATATATATATATATATATATATATATATATATATATATATATATATATATATATATATTCCAATTACGTTTGCTGCATAGCACAGTAAGCACATAGCAACTAAAAGTTACATTTTTCATTTGTATCAAAAAAGTATCTCTGGCGGGATACGAACCTGCCAAATTCTGGCTATCAAGGAGAGTGTCATACCACTAGACCATGGAGATCTAACCCCAGGCACAAATCTCATGAAACTGACCGAAACGCTCACAAATATAGAGCAATGGTTAAGCTAGAGAAGCTTATGACGCAGCTCGGAAAATATTCAGATTAGGTTTGCTGCGTAGCATGCACCGTAAACACAATATAAACAAATTGATAAATAATAATTAGGAAAATAATAATTAGGAACCGATTAGAACATGACGTTATAATCGTGGTTACGAGAGGCAACCGTAGGTGAAGTATTTGTCTAATAACACAAGCGAAATTCACAGCGAAAGTTCGAACCTCCGACCTCAAATTTGAAAGCCCTAATCGTAACCGACTGCGCAAACCGCTTCTGCTAACGGATACAGAATTCACGTGTACACTGAAGTGACCTTACTTACTCGTTATCCAGCATGCACACCCGGTAGTTCCTGTTGGAACCCCTCCCCAGTTGAACATCTGATCGCCATCAACTGAGACCCAATAATGATATCCGCCGTCAAACAATGATCCAATGCATTGATACTGTGGAATAGAAAAATAGTCAATTATTGTATTGGTCTATAATCTTTTCGTATTAATGGTCTATCTAAGAATATGTGTGTCATATCGGTGCGTTTGCTGCACCGATATGACTCTCCTTCCTTGTCATCTTTTAGATAGTTACCAACCGTTTAGCATCATACCTGGTTCCGCATTTCAAAGTGATTTTGATGAAACACGCATTTAGTGTGATCATAAATTTGTCACGTATTTAGCACAAGTCTATGCGTGATAACGAATTATCACGAATTCAGTGGAAAATGTATTTAAAAATTAGAAGAAATTGGTTTTATTAAAAATGTAAAAACGGCCATGCAGTAAATTGAGTCATCAGAGAGCTTTCGTTATTTCGTTTGAGATTTTCTTTCCTGTAAAAACACATTGACTCAAACTCAACAATTGTATGTGGCTTTATTAAAACTTTTTTTTTTTAAGTACCCAGTATTGTCAACAAACACTCCCAGAAATCGTTTTAAAACAGCTTAAAAATTCTCAGACTATCGGAGAGCCTGGGGTCTTCGACCCATGGAGCCCTGCCAGTTGCCGGTCTCCCAGCTAACTGGTGTAGTTACTTGCGCATTTCAAATCTCTCAGGTTGGTATAATGTCTTTATTAACTACCTTGACCCCAGAAGATCCAGTTTCGTATTTAGATTTTTTAACCTTGAGTTCTTCCCATCCTTATTATCTTCTCACTCTTGATACTTCTAACCTATTCTATCGTTTTGTCCCTTTTTTCTGTCTTTTTGTTTCACACCCAATAAACTAGAGAGAGATAAATATTTCTCTTCTAGTGTTTCAGGAATATAGAATATTCTAACTATTTCAATTCACAAGCCAGAATATATTTGATAATTTTGAAAATAATCATTCTATCGTGGAAGGTTCGTTGCAAAGGCTTAAATGCTTTGACAAACGGCACTGTCTATATACAATTAAATAAAATAGGCCTATAATATATTGAATCAGTTTGCACTGACTGGTAAGTGAAAAATATTTAGATTGTTTAATGTTGTTATAAACAAATATTGTTCTTACCAATTAACAGGCGAAATACAGGTATACCTATAAAACCGTAAATGCTAACCTTAATAAATTGTCTACATGATGTTGATACGTTCTTGATTGCTGCTATCTGTTCTGACGTGTGGTCGTAGGTGATATCAACACGGAATGAACCCTGTGTCTCAGCATTGTTCACATTTCCATCTTCCTCCTTATCGTGTTGAATTGTTGTATAACCTTGATTTTGAAAGATAGTTCTAAAAATCACATCTGATATAATTATTTCCTAAAGGTTCTGTTACCATATACCCCCATGAACCAAATTTCAAGATAGATAGAAATTTTTCTAGCATTTAGTTTCTTGCATATTCTATTCTATTCTATTATTTTATATTATTTTATTTATTTTATTTTATTTATTTTTTATTTTATTTTATTTTATTTTTTATTATTCAGTCATTTATATTGCCTTTTTTCAGATACAATGCGCTCGCACCCCATATTGCACATCAAAATCCACAGCAAGTACGGTACCGGTATACGGCAACTATCCAAGCCCAAATAGTTAAGTAGGAAAATCTTAAAATCGCAAAAACCCAAAAATAAAAAAATAAAGGCCAAAAAAGAAATTAAAAAAATCACAATGAAAAAAAAATTATTCTTATGTCAATATAGGCTTAACACAAGTACAAATAATTCAAAAAGTACATGGTACAACTCTGAACATTTAGAGTTAAACTTAAGTCAAAAATTAGTTGACAGCCCATAAGGCTCATTTAGATGTAATATTAAAAGTTTGGTATAGGCCTATTTCCAGAGCGTTTATCCCGATGATCAAGATTTAAAAATTGTTATTAGCATGACACTAGACTGGTATGTTTAGTTCTCTTTGAACTAGGCTTGCCATCTTTGAACCTAAAAAATCTAAAACGACAAATCGAAATTTTACGGTAAAGGACTTTATTTAAACATTTTCTTTGTCTACTAAGTTAAAACTACGTTCACAAAACGTAAAAATAACGTACCGATTGTTAAGTCTGATGTCATATCACAAACTACCGAGAACGGATCCAATCCAGCATCCGGACCATCAGGATCGATCGTGTAAACACCGTTAAAATCAACACCGGCCTTTTTGAGGGAGTTACATGACGTAAAGATTGGTTCTTGGACTATATGTTATATAAAAACAGTGAGTTTATGTAAGGAATTACATTTCGTCTGGTGCACGTAGGCCTATTTAATGTTTTAATACACCTGCAGGATCTGATCTGGATCAATAATTGACAGTCTCCAAAGAGGCATCATGTCAATAGGCTTCGTTGAGTCAAGTCTGCTTCCGTAAAATCGCTACTCACTATCGCTAAGGGTTTCCCCTTCAATCGTTAAATTACGTAGAGCTGTCACCGACGCAATCGAGAAGGCTCCCGATTCGACAACGATCAATCAGCGTCGTCGTGAGCATTTGGCGATAGTGCGTAGCGATTTTATGGAAAACATATAATAAATGAATCGCTAGATTTCCAAATGTGGCATAAAATCTCTAGATTTTTTTTTTAGAAACTTTGGTAATAGATATATATATGAATATATTCGATAGCGCAACTATACTGAACGTTCATTATTGTTTAATCACATTGTATTTCATGACATACAGCCATTTATCAACTCAGTTAAGCTCACAAATGCCTTTGTAGAAACATACCTGGTTCAGCTTCTGGTCCAGGTGGACCAGGTGGTCCTTGTACTCCTTGTTCACCTATGAAAAGAGAAGAATTAGGTTGACAAGAATGCATCAGACATAGGGGCGGATCCACAGATGTCCGAAAGGGCGGTTTTCATAGACGCCCGGAAATTACCTCGAGGCGTTTTGGGCTATCAATAATTTCTTGTTCTTTTTTTTTTAATTTGTTTTACATTTTTAAAAAAGGGGGCGGGGCTGGTGTCTTTAAATATAGTTTAAAATAATACACATGTTTAATAGTTTTTAAAGCAGAATCACACAACAGTTAAAGGCGAAATTCAGATCAGTGTCTATCTTGTATGTATGTATCATAATAGTCGACGAATGATTTTGGCCCTATAAAAAATATTATTAGTTTATCACCCTATCTGGGCAGAAAAAGTGATGAGGGAGGGAGGCTTTTTTAAAATTTTCTATTGTGCTAAAGCCGAATATCACCCTAAATTTTTTTCAACAATTTTTTTTCCAGTACTATAGAAGACTTGCGATAAGATGTGTATAAGAGACAGCGGGGGGGGGGATAAACTAATAATTTATTATTATTTATTGGGCCTTTTCTTTGACCGTTAGGAATGTGAGCATACTGAGCTCGCCATCCTTTGATTGGCTGCAATGCAACGCTTGACATATACACGTTTACTCAGTAGAATTTCGTAATTGTGACGTAACGTAACACACCGAGCTGACAGTTCAAATATGTACCATTGAAAACCGGGCTTACCAGTTGCTCCGGCTTTTCCCGGGTGTCCCGATCGCCCTATAAAACAAATCAGGAGTATTAAAAACACATTGTGAAGCCACATTTACACTAGACACGATTACGACACGACAACGACATATCATCGCGTAGTTCTTGTATTTTTCAACACTACGGGCATCTGTATCGTGTTGTCGTTGTGTCTAGTGTAAATGGGGTTTAATGAGGCTTAAAAAGGCTTATAGCAAATATCAACTCTGTAAGTAACAGTGGTTGAATCTAGTTTAAATTAGTGGCGTATCCAGGATTTTGAAAGGGAGTGCTGAATATTATTACCTCTAGGCCGATTGAACATAACACAAGGCGCAAAACTAGGAGCGCAGCATATCGATGACTTTGACTGTACCATAAATTAGCTGTTAAGGTCTAACTTACTTTGCTATAGAGCAAGAGAGAATACGGTACCAAAGATTTTGGACAAAATAGTCCTTCTTTTGGCAAATTCACGACGGAGCGCAAGTTTATATCCCGATTATGAAGATTTTTCACCCTTGCAGATACCTTATCTTAATTAACTTTATCTAAAAAGATAATAATAATAATAATAATAATAATAATAATAATAATAATAATAATAATAATAATAATATTATATTTTAACAACTAAAAATATTGACACAAAAATGGTATCAATTGTTACTGTACCTGTCCTGCCAGTGAGTCCCGTTTCACCTGTAATGAACCGTAACATTTATAATTCATGTGTTAAATTCAAAATCTTCTTATAATTTCAAAGCACTTTCCTTTTAAACAACCTTCTTACATGCTCATCAACTTACTCACATTTATGTTCTTCGGCGCATTCTCAGGCTATCCGATATTTTTTTGCTCTCTGATCCCCGCATAGTTTCTGTTGCTCCTTTTAAGAAATTACTCAAAGCCTCGTTTTCCTCCATTAAAATGGTCGATTAATTGACGATATTAATTTTTATATAATAACAATGGATAATAATCATTTATTTATATTGGCTTTAAATACATAACAGTAATTAACGCTTGGAATGACCATGAAGAAAACATAATGCAAAAAAAATAATTCCTTTGAAATTTGAATCGCAGTACTACAGGACTACTCAGCAGAACGCCAGTGATTGCTTGCTTGATTGATTTATTGATTTATTGATTTAGAGCAGTTTAGTGGCGGTAGCCACTGTGTGTACGCCGAACCGTAGACAACCTGGCCCGCGATTCATTCCATCCGCTGTTCTAGAGGTTCAGCTATAGAATACAAGATACGATAGCGCATCGTATTTCGGATGAGACGTTTAAGCCAATGGTACCGTGTGCACAATGGCCCATATGCACGTTAAAGAACGCAGTACACTCTTCGGGAAAGGGTAGGGGATTGTCTCCCGGTGTACTGTCCAATTCACCACCAGTAGGACCCCCACTGGAAACATGTTCTCGGACTCTTTGGTGTGATTTACACCAAGATTGCTCCTTTCTAGATAAAGCTTGCTTGGTATAGGTCAGAATTACTGGTGTATCTATTCAAAATAAAATATTCTTACCTGGTGCACCTGGTTCACCCGGCACACCTGAAAAATATATACAATCACAAATTAATTAAAAATAATAAACATATAGCATTTTAACTAAAAGAAAACGCCTTCAATATCGATGTATTATAAATTACCTATCTCAAAAATATCGTACCACGTACCGAAAGGCCATGGAATTTACCAATGAAAAGTTGTTATTGCCTAATTAATATTATGAAGCATAATAACATAAGTTACCAATCACGCCTGCTGGTCCTGTGTCACCTTTGCAACCAGGCTCGCCATTAGTACCAGGAACTCCCGGAACACCTGCATGAGCAGAATAACTAGAACTACAGTAAATTGTTATTACTATTATTGTCATTGTTATATTTATTTTCCATTCTATTCATTCGTATTATTATTTCTATTATTATTATTATTATTATTAGCAGTAGTAGTAGTAGTAGTAGTAGTAGTAGTAGGTAGTAGTAGTAGTAGTAGTAGTAGTTAGTAGTAGTGGTAGTAGTAGTAGTATTAGTAGTAGTAGTAGTAGTACTTTAGTAGTAGTATAGTAGTAGTAGTAGTAGTACTTCAGTAGTAGTAGTAGTAGTAGTAATAGTAGTAGTAGTAGTAGTAGTAGTAGTAGTATTTATCATCATCATTATCATCATCATTTATATTGTGTATTTATCATTTCTTATATTATTTTGGGGTGTATTAGTGTGCGTAATATGACGTAATTGTGAATCCCATAGAGTCACTAAATTAATTTATTTAATTTCGTCATTTTACAATAGTATACAAGAACCTTACTTATAATATAAAAAAAATATTGTTATCTATATAACTATCATTAATATGTAAATCAATGGCGTACTTACCGGGTACACCAGGTATTGCCTTTGCACCCTCTGGTCCAGGTGGGCCGCGGGGACCTGTGATGTCAAAGTTGAAAAGTTCTTTTTTTTTCAAAAGCGAGAATAAATCGTATTTACCTAAAAACTACCGTGAGTTCGCATTCATCAACGTACAATTAAAATATTCCTGAGCCATTTATTTTGTGATTTTGCTCCAATAAAGTCCGTAGGCTCTCATATGTGTTTATATTCGCACTCACGCAGGTAGATTGCTGTGGGGTGACACAAGGGATTTCGGCTTTCCATTATTTCCGCTTCCATGAGCCCAATTTCAAAGTAAATTCGACCCTTCCCTTTAATTTAACAACTGACCAATCAGAATCATGTCAGGAATATGCGCATGTCCGATAAACACATGTGTTTACGTACGTTTCGTATTGTGGGACTTTAGCAGCAGTATTTGGGAACTTTCGATTTGTGCGACGACGTGACGACGCTAGAACGGAATCACTCATGCGTGACCGTCCTACCTGGCGTCCTACGTTCTCTGCATACGTAGATAGAATATACTCGACGAGGTAACCTTAACGTTCTCGCATGCGCAGATGACT